TCCGCTGTTGTGTTATGCCCAACGAGATGGATTAATACCAGTGGCTAAAGCTGTGCTTTCAGTGCTCTCTATGGACACACTCAGGACTAGAGGCCGCCATCTTTTCTGCATTCAAAACATGGTTGTGGCGGCATATTACAGTTGTCATACAGTATGCATTGTTTGTTAGCACCAGAATTATTTGTCCGCTATTATCGTTTTATTTCTACTTTATTTAGTGGTGACTAAAATCTAGTAAACATTGAGATTTTCGGCGTATAACTGCACCAACAGAAGTGATCAAACCTCACTAATTTTTCAAGATCTTAAATGGAACTGTTTTCTACTTCTTAAGTACGTTTACACATTTCAATCTTACGCGATTGGTGTAACGACAATGCTAACTACAATAACATTTAATACATTGAATTCTTATTTAAAAACAACTGTTCGGGAAGTAATGCATTTTGAAGTTGCTAAGATGACCCCGTTTCGATCTGGACATAAATATAGCTTCCTATGCGGAGCTTTCCTGAGCTTTCTTTCACTCGTTGCAGAACCGGAGTGACGGAATGCTATTTTGTTAACAATACTATCAAACCAAATCTGTAGTTCGTTAGTCGACACATTAACTTTTCTTTTACTCGTGAGAGAAAATTATTAGTTTTCAATTGTTGCCAACCTCGCTTAGATACTTTTATTTACCATTCTACTACGTAAAGTAAACGTTTAGAGTAGGGTTTCTGCTGCACAAGTGTTACCAAAACAAGTTTTAGAATAAGTTAATAACTGAAAATTGAAAATGTTACGACTATACTTAATCAAATGCAGACGATTTTGAATCACGTCACGACGTAACGCAATGATAAAAATCGATAATAATTATCATTTAACGATACCATATTTTTTTCTTACGAGGCAACACTGTACACAGGGGGGGGGGGAGAAGTTTCTGAGTAGGCGAGAATAGTCCGATTAAGTTTTCTTTTCAATTCCTGTGAGTGACATGTAAAAATAGCTTCTTACACGCTGGACTTTAAGGACAACCCGATCGTTCTTTACAAGATTAGCAATAGCGAAGTTCAGAAATCGTCTCAAATACCACCCATCTAACGACGGAGGTTGTTGAAACGCGCTTGGATGAGAACCAGTGGTGGCGCACTTACGAGTGGGCTGTGATGAATCCCATACACTGTATGCATATTATTCCCGTAGCCTATATAGTACAGACCAGCGATCAACCGTTCATTAGAAATGATTCGCGCGACATGAGTGCATCTCCGCTTCATTGGAGGAAATCGAAGAGCGTGAAGATTCCGGAAATCAACAGTAAGACGTTAAAATTAAAATTAATAATTAAGTAAAATTAAACATTTTGAATCGAAAGTATCTTGAATTCGTTAGTTCTATTTAAGAGTGCAGAAATTGCATCAACTTCCGACGTTCAGATTAGGTTTAACAGTATATTGTTTGTTGAAAGTGCTGCCCTGTAAACGAGAATTGTTAATTTATTCCACATTGTATACAGCCGTATACAACAAAAAACTGAACGCTTTTATGAAACACAAAACGAAAATGCAAAGAATTCATTCAAAAATATTGCTGCTACTTAGCAAAAGGTTTATATAAGAAAACAAACATGAAATAGTAAAGAATACAAACATAAATCGAGTTTGTTTGATAGAACAAATCTGGTAAACATTTTCTTATAAAATCAGTTTTATCCACCTCGCGCCACTTCAGCTTGTGCCCAATTCGGGATTTGCAGGAAGGAGAGCGAAGCAAGGGGGATGGGGATTGCAGGCTGGCCTGTGATCGTACATAAGTACGATTTATTTAGTCATGAACTTGACGTAAATCAGCTGTCGCTGTTTCATCCAATTGGGGGCTTATATGTCGTTACAGTGACGTCACTTAAGGAAGTTCGTAAAACTTTACTCGATATCGATTCATTTTATATTGATAAACTTAATGGAAGACTCGGACGTACTATTATTTTCTACGTTTTCTTTTTTTATTGTATGAGCTAGAAAAATATCGTCCTACGTCACCTATAACGTTTTTACGGCAGTTTTCATCAATATCATAGTGATTTGTAATCTTGATGTTAGTTTTAAATCATTGAATAAAACATTATAAGAATCTTAAATCTTACATTGTCAATTACCGTACACTTGGATTGTAAGTCCTGGATGACTTCATCTGGGTCCAGGTACGCCTGGCAACACTGCGCATGGATAACAAGTCTCTATCATCATGATCCCTAATCCCAGCAAAAATTCCAAACTCTCTTCTAATTACCGTCGCATCAGCCTTGACTGGTGACAATAGTTTGATTTTTTAAGGTGGCGCATAGTGTTGCCAGAGGAAGATTGCTCGAATGAGGAATCTCAAGCGCCGACATGCGGACTTTTGCGGAAGCTTGGCAGTTTAATTGCTGATATCAATGTGGATATAAATGCACATATTGTCCACTCTGAAATTGGAATACGCAAGTGCAATTACTCCCAGGCTGCTTTTTCTGCCTTACTATTATACGCGCAGTGTGCACGTTTTCTTGAGCCCCGGAACACCTACCCCCACTCCTTGGCCAACATCAGTTGAATGATGAATAAATGATAGCAACGATCATTGTAGATAAAATTTGGTAACCAGAAATGTTCGCTCCCGTGTAATAGAAACTATTTTGAATCGAAAAACGAACTACAAATTTGATATAACATTCATTGTATGAAAATAACCACACTCGCCACCCCTTTCGCAACTGGCGAAGCGAGGGCTCAAGAAAACGTACGCGGATACGCTACGCGCGAGCGCTGTCACAAAGCGCCGACTTCCACTTGCTTATGGCGTACAGAAATTTAATCGGTCTTTTTCTTTCTCTAGTAAATAATTAGAGAAAAAACAAGGTAGATCCACGATATTATATCTAAATTCTCATAAAAGTCATGAAGCTGTCCTTTTCTGTCTCTTATCACCGAACATATTAGTAATCCGCCCAACTGGTCTCGTAACATCCACCAGGACCGACAGGACCTGGTCAAGGGGCCTCCAATGAATTGAGCAATACGATCATTTTTTAATTAAAAAAATTAATTACCTCTGGTAACCAGGAATTGTACAAATTTTACTTAAATACAGTTTGTTCAAAATTGGCACAAACTGTTTGCAAATCTACGGCCGCATCTAACGTAATAATGATGCGAATATTTACATAAAATTTATTGCAAATTTTGAAACATTTTTAACAAAACGTTTTAGGAAAAGAAATTCGTTATTTATATAAAAGATAAATAATCTGTTATATAATGTTAAATTGTAGATTTAATTAATTTTGTTTCCAACCAAAGTTTTTTGCAACACATGTAAAATTTATACAATGTTACCCCAGAAACGGTGTATAAAAAATGTAAATTTCAAACTAATATTGTACAAATATTTGCGTAATTCTTGCACATATTTCCACAGATTTAGTATCGTCGAGGTTATATAAATAATTATAATATTCATGTATTTATTTTTTAAAATTTGGGAGGGTGACACGGATAGACATGGAAAATGAGAGAATACTTTCGACCTAAATATATGTTTTTTTATGCAAGAATTATAATTTTCATAAATTTTAAAATGAGTTTTTATTCATCCGTATGGCTCGCTGCGGAGTGAACGTCCAACATGCGGACATGCGGTAGCTCTAGCAACACTCATTTCGTAAATCAGCTGCTGGCAGTCATCCAATCGGGAGCTTAAAAATCACCACAGTGACGTCACCGTGATGACGTTCAGCTCCTGATTGGATGACACAGTAACAGCTCATTTTCGATTTTCGCCACCACGAAAAAATTTAAGTATACTGTGCGTGAGATCTATATACCGCTCAAGATAACCACAGAACACCTCACCAACTTCAGGAATAATATTTTTGCAAATTATTTTGCCAGCCATTTAATTTGCATATTTGGATTTGTTCGGTCAGGGAGGAGAAGCGGTGTAACGCAACGTACACTGTATTATGTTATTTGTATGGCAAAAGCTGCTTTGTGTTACAAAAATAGAGGAGACCTTTTTAAAAAAAGAAAAAATTAAATTTTTCGAAAATCTGAGTATTTATCACGAAAAATATAGGTAATTTTTAAATTTTATATAAATATTTTTTCCCTGTTTTTGATGAAATTTTGTTTGTGGATAGTCTAAAGGTCGTTTAAGAAAATGATGCAGGTATCGGGGTGGTTAAAAACCATTTTTGGCATCTTCCTACAACTACAATTATGAATGTTTTTTTTTCACATAATGAAAAGTGTTCATCAAAAACATATTTTCAAATAAGGTCATGTTGATTTTTTTTTTACAAATTTGAGTATTTTTGGAGTAATTGGACGTCAAAGTTGAAAATCCTGGGCTTCTAAATAGTAAGTCCAGTTTTTTTTACGCATTCGGATGTTACTCAAGTTAGCATGGGTATATTATTTCATATTTCTTTGTACGTCTTTTAAAGTGGATCTTAAGTTACAAGTTGCCAAATTAATATTTTAGAAATTACTTAAAACCTATTTGAAATACTAGTAAATATGAAATAAAGATCACTAGCTTTTGGTTGCCCTCCCCCAATTTACGCACCTGTATGCTACGTACGTCAGTATTTATATATTATTTCATATATTTTATCTATGGTTCTTCATTTTAAATTGCGTCCTTTAACTTTCCATGTACCATGGAGTAGTTGGAGACCAGTTTCTTGGAAATTTATTGCGAAATCGCTTCTCATTTGAATGAATGGCTCGCATCTTATTTCAGTTGAACACACTGAATTTTCGAGGGAGTCGTTTATTCCCCTGCAGTTCATAAATTTCTCCCATATATCACATCATATTTTAGCTGATTTTGGCGATAAATAAAAAATAAGAGAAAGGTTGAACTACATTATCTCAATTTTTTATTAAGGCTTCTTAATTTGGTTTTGACAGACAATAAGATTATATATGCAAGATAATGGCTACTTTTGCAATTTTTTTCCCCTCCAGCAACTGGCTGTCCATGTACTGAAGAAGGATTAAGTTGCATTGATGATATTTTCAGTAAGTATTCTTTTATCACAAAAGTTTTGTCTTCTCTACTTAAGTCTTTACATGTGCACATCACACCATGCTTATAAATGCAGACACCCATATTAGAGTCGCAATCAGTTCCTTTAACTTTCATCTGAATAGTCTCTGGATTAATAATCTTAAGTATTTTCAGACTATTTAGAGTGCTAAGTGATTTTTCTATTCTTTTCTACTTCTGGCTACACATTATTAACACATATTCTGAAGGTAAAAGGAAGTTACAACCATCCTTATTGGAAGTTCCATAAGAATGTTCTATGAAACAACATGATAAAAGCATTGATGAGCCTTGTCCTTGGAAAAAAAGTTTCTCACACAACCCATATTGATCAACATATCAAATCACTTTAAGCAAATGAAGCAGATGACACTAGCATCACTCTAAGCGAATGAAGCTATTGTAATATCAGAAGTATGCTATTTTAAAGAAAGAACATGTGACAAATTTGCTACATAGTACCCTGTGTGTGTGTGTGTGTGAGGTGTGTATTTCATGTACGTATGTATTGATTGAGTGTGTGCGTGTGTGTATGCATGCAAATGTCCATGTTAAAAGCATAAAAAAACTGGTAAATCCTTTTATAAAAATTGCACTCTTATTGCTTGTATATAAATCCAGACCTATGGTATGATTAAAATAAGTTGATTGACAGTTGTGCTTCAGAAGCTGTTGCTTCATACAATATTTGTATATGATTTGGTAACTTTTATGAGTATTCATTTCAAGTGTTCATTGGTACACAACCTGTCAATGTCAGTCCTTTCCATTCACGAAGGTCAATCATCAACTTCTTTTAATTGAACCATAGTTGCAAGACCCGAAAATTATCACAATACTTTTTAGAAAAGAGCAAATTTTTTACCGACTTGTGATAGCAAATGAATATAAGTTTACTGGCAAGTGTGTGTGTGTGTGTGTGTGTGTGTGTGTGTGAGAGTGTGTGTGAGAGAGAGAGTGAGAGAGAGAGAGAGAGTGAGAGAGAGGAGAGAGAGAGAGATATAGAAAGAGGATACTTCAATGTTTACGTCTTCTATATTGACTATTTGTTTTATAATGAAATTTGGTTGAAAAATTAAAATGTCCTACAAAACTTTTAGTCCAATACACTTTTGCATGTGATTGCATTTTTAAGTAGTATCCTAATTTTTGTTTCATTGTAGCACAACTGAAGAACATGAAAATAAGAAGTGATGTACCACCAGATGGTGAAGAAGAGGATTGTTTTTGTCCACCGTCCTGCTCTGAATCTGAATACCAATACATATCAAAACCACTTATGTAAGTACCAATTTAGATTATTCATTATTACAATTATTACTAAATATTGAAAGCATAGTCTCACCATGTTTTCAGAAACTATGAATCACCTAATAAAGACTGGGCTATTGTGAAAATAAAACTTGCTTACCTGCCATCTGAGAGGTTCACAAGACGTGTTATTTGTGGAAAACTTGACTTTGCAGGTATGAATTGATTATTGAAAATTAATTATTAGCACAACTAGAAAATGTATTAAAAAACCAACAAAAAACAACTAACAAACACTTGGACATTAAAGACTTTTGTTGAAAATTAACTCAAGCAATGAAATATAGATTACAACTTGCACACGTAATAATTAATTTTTATTAATTAATTAAGTTCAGAAATTAAATAATCAAAAACATACAAAAAACAAAACCTCTTTTATATGAATCACACATATCTTCCATCAGAATTATCATTCCTGATGTTATTTCTAGCTGATATAACGCTCAAGAAAATGTTTAATAACTATAAAATGCTCTTTAGTGTGTGTAGGTGGTGTGGGAGGCTTGTTACTTGGGGCAAGTCTCCTGAGTTTGATAGAGATCGTGCACTTTCTCTTCCTGAGACCATTGATGAATCTATGTCAAAAACTTGGATCTCATCACTGACTGTGGCAATCTCCAGCCCACACTCACCTTCACAAATTGTAGAGAAGCAAGTATTACAGAAGACTCAAAAAAGAACTCTTTCAATAATCTCAGCCTTTTGCTAATGTTTGTAAATGAAAAGCAATTCACAATATCCAGTGTAATACATTTATTCATTCATATTAACAACAGTATGATCAAACATACAAGCTCTAGGAGGTAACATAACTTATGTCAAATGGAGAAAGAATGCAACAATTTGCATTTTTATAATTGAATTTGTCAGTTAGATTATAGTTAATTACTTATATCTAATCTATAAATCATTATGTCCATTAGAGAAAATAAAAAGAATTCCATATGTAAGTGCGGCTGTTCTCATTTAATGACACATACAGTTGTCACACAAAATAGGGAATATATTTTGTAAAATACACAACCCATGTTTTGATGAGAACCAATTCCTGATAATGTGAGAACTACAAAATAATTTTCCTGGTGAAATTTCAAAAGAATGCATCATTTCTTTGAGAGTGCGTATATATATCATTTGAAGATTTATTTGCTGATAAAAAAAATCTACAATGATTGTACAATCTCTTCAAAAATAACATAATTCTTGAAAGAAAGAATCACACATCAAGTCTGTTTACCATGTCAAGTACACACAAAATAATAATAATAATAATAATAATAATAATAATAATAATAATAATAATAATAATAATAGTAAAAATTGTAAATGTATAAATAAAAATAATTTAAAAACAAGATTAAGGATGAAAAGATGTCAAACTTTACACCTAGCAAAAACAAAACTAGTGTAGAAAGATAGATCATATTATATTTCAACTTTCAACAACTACACAATTTTTTAAAAAGAATTTCCCATTCTTATTTGGTTTATTGAATAAATTATGAACACATTTAAACAGTATTCTGCAGATTTACAAATCTAAATTAAAAAACAAACAAAAAGCAATAGGGTATTGGGGTTGAAAAAAAGTTAACACAAAATTTTGAAGAAATACTGAAATCATTGTCCTTACATTTCATTCCTTTTATAAATAAGAGTTGAATTTGTGAAACACAAATTAAAGGTCTTCTGACAGTATTAACCTCAATCACTTAAATGAGTATTTCTCAATCGACTGTTCCAGTCCATGATGATGTGAATATGTGGTCAACAAGTATGATATTCTATAAGATGGTTAAAGTAATGAAGAAGACAATTCCTGTACTGCCTATTAGTAATAAAAGTCGTTATGTTAATATCTTAATTATTTGTTTTTAATTGCTCATGTATTTATTTACAATTAACAGTACCTTGCTATTTAGAATGATAGCATATGTCCCTTATCACCAAGACTCTTGCTTAAAATTATTTATCGAGTATAGAATCTTAACAGTTCTCTTTTGGTTCTTGGCAATAGCGGATCCAGGGACCACATGCCCTCCCCCTAAAGGCCAAGAGTTGTTTACCTTCCCTTATTTTGCAAATTTTATTTAAATATTTATGTTTGAATTATATAATTGTTTAAACAATAATATTGCATAGTATCATATCTACATTACACAAATAATATACAATGTAATAACAAATATGTTTATTATTTAAATATATGGGGTCCCCCCGAAATGTTCGGCTGGATCCACCCCTGGTTCTTGGTAGTGATGAAGATTGAGAAACACTCCGCAAAATCTTATGATACACAAAGCATTTACAGCAATAACTCAAAAACGAAGTAAATGGCACAAAGAAATAGGAAAGGCATGTTGGGACTATCTAAGAAATTTCCAGTCTTAAACAATATATCAAATGCACACATTCATGATTGGTAGTCAGCAATTAGTAAAAGAACCGCCACGAGAGAAGACTAAATCAGTATTAATAAATTATTCTTTAATTAAAAACAATCAAAACAGTTAATTTTTTGAATTAAACATTTTAACATTGTTATTACATCTTCATACAATATTTGCTTTACCTAATGGTTTTGGATTCAAAACTTGACTGCCTCTTGGCATTACTAACAGAACTTGGATTCATTTTGTTTTCCATTTGACTGCCTAAGATGATAGATGAAATACGAATACAATCACTATAACAAGTTATATTGACTTCCTTCTTATAACTTTTTGCAATATTCTTAAATTATTTGTTCACTTTTGGAATCTGGAATGAACATCTTATTTCGGGTGAGTTTTTTTAATATTATTTTGTAATTGCTTTTGTTGTTATCAAACGTAACATACTTTGCAATCATGTCTTAATAAACTCAAAGATGGGACCTAGTACTGAAACATCATATTATTGAAACAAATAATGTATAAAGGAAGAATGAAGATGTTAAAATTTTTAACACAAATGAATTATTTTGATTACCCACAATTCAGGAAACATTGATTAATATAAATTTGTGGGAATTAATACGCATTGAAGACTAAATCGGGTTGGTTCTTACACAATTCTTGTCACATTTAAATTATTCAAAATGAAGAAATCTTCAGTTACGGTTGGTATACTAGTATTTAAAACACATTTTCCAATAATAAAACAAAGAAAATTGTCAATTTCGTTGACACGATCGTCATATATAATATTCAATTTTTAATATAATGGAACGAAGGGTCGTTTGCGAATGAATACTAATGTACATATAAACGTGCACAAATAAATAATCCGGAGGTGGAACTCAAGATTTTAAGTTTAATGTCAAGGGAATCATTTGCTAGAAATTATTTCTATAAATAAATATTTTAATGCTTGTCTGTTGTGAGATTTTCTGAATTGTACGCATCGTAAGATTATAGACAATCAGTACAGAGTCCAAATAGGTATATCCTGTGTTGATCTGGACCCTGAACTGACTGTCTATAATCTTAAAAAACACATATAATTCAGCTGATTTCTATAACTGGCATTGTAATGCTCTACTAACTCTTCAACAATCAAAGAGCAAAACTCATTTTCGTACGATCTCCACGAAGACATATGAAAATTCAATTGCATTTATAAGGATCACGGAAATCGCTCTTAATCTTCACGGGGACTGTAACTAAATCACTGTGTCAGTGGGTCCAATTACAAATTCATACCTGTTAGTTTTGAAGCAAAAATATAAATTCAGGTGTCATTAGAACAGGTGTCAAGCAGAGAAGACGACCACACAATGCCTTGCCATACACAACTTGATAATCTAGTAACTCACAAAAGGCGCACGATTAACTACAGTAACCTCATAGCAAATGCCAACCACTCCACAAACACAACCAGTGAAACACACCACAACATACTCAACCACATAAAGATCACATGTTCACCATTCTTGAATGTGCGCTGATCCGCGCGGTGCAGGGTAGGGAAACTTGGCGGTCAAAACGGGGTAATGATTTTTGCGCCATCTACAACAGTTC